CTACATAGCAAGATCCCGTCGAGAGAGAGAGAGAGAGAGAGAGAGAGAGAGAGAGAGAGAGAGAGAGAGAGAGAGAGATTATGGGCCAGCCAGCTAGCTCAGTGGACTAAGTGCCTGCTTGGCAGAGTGCGGCAGCCGGGGTTCCATCCCCAGTGTGCCACACCAGCCCTGCCCCGGGATGCACTGAGATGTCAACTGAGACTGGGCATGATGGTGTGCCCCTGTAATCCCAGCGTTTGGGAGGCTGAAAACAGGAGGAGCACTCAGAGTCTGATCTACATAACAAGACACTATAGACCCTGTAGACGCTGTACTAAATACATTAAAAATATATATAAAAAGAGGTTTTGCGGTGGGTTATCCTGAAGACCAGCGAATCCCACACCCTGGCCTCTGTTTCTGGCTGCCTCCCACCATCAGCTCACCACTTCCTTCAGCTTCCTTGAAGAGCCAGCCTCCGTCCCAAGCCTCCCTGCTGAGCACACCACGTTGCATTTCTCCCTTAGCTCTGCCACTAAAACCACGCACAGCACCACACGCGGCGCAGCACGTCTGTTGGGAACCTCGGTGCCATCCGCGAGCTGTGCGCAATGAGCTTTCCTGCTTTGCGCCTGACGACCTCAGCTCACACACGCAGAGCCCCACAGAAGGCTCCGGAGCCGCCCACTTCAGGTCAGCCTCTGTTCCGCGGGCCCAGACTGAGCAAAGATCTAGAAAAACGCGATAGGATTGCGTGGATGAGGAACAAGGGGTTGGCAAGGCGAGGGGCGCGAGCACAGGCGTTCTTGTGTAGCTCCCGGTGGGAAAGGACGGCTCATCTGGAAACAGACGTCGCCGCTGTTTCCTCCATTGAGGAGGAAATCGCGCCCTGTAAAGCTCACCGAGAAGCCAGTGTTGCAGGGCAAGCCATTCCTTATCCCTGGTGCCGCTAGTACTAGGTCCTGGGCAGGCTCACACAGAAGCTGGAGTCATTCACAATTTAGAGAACGCAGCCATCAAAATGTCACTGCGTTTGAGGAATGGATGAATAATTTAGCTTACTAAAAGTTAACATTTAGAAAAGACCAGACTTGCAAATTGCGGGAGATGGTGGCTGCCTGGAGTCTCGGGGCCTGCTCTCTCCAATTAAAAACCAAGCAAAATGACCATGGAGCCAGTATGTTGACCTCCCAGAAAGCCTGATATTTTCTTGCTTGCTTGCTTGCTTGCTTTCTTTCTTTCTCTTTCTTTCTTTGATAGGATTTCATGATGTAGCGCAGGCTGACCTTGAACTCCAAGTGCTGGGATTACAGGTGTGCGCCAACACACCAGCCCCCACGGCCGGACTGTGTGACAGATCTGAGGGGAGGCAGCCAGAAGGCCAGCTCCCTGGGCAGACACACGGGGCCACATTGTGTGACTGCAGCTCACCCAGCACTCATGGGGCTCCCACCAACCAGGGCACAAGTTGGGCGCTGGGAAGGCTGAGATCACCAAGCCACCATCACCTCGAGGGCTCGAGGCTGTGGGGTTGACAAGAGCCCGGAGACTGTGCGTTCCTTCCTG